GGCAATATTAAGGACTTGCCTTTACCCGCGGTTTTGCCTGCATAAATTTCAGCTTGTTATACATAGAAAGTCTTTATCGCACTAAAGTTTTCCAATAGCAAACAGTTTAATTACTAGCGNTTTGAGTAGTGCAGTGCTGGTACTGTGGCCAGGACGGAAGCCGGATTGGAACTGACTCAAGATATTATTGTCAAAGATAAACTTAGAGACTTGCGAGTGTACGGCAGCCTCCAAAGTTTTGGAGAGGAAGGGTAGTATAGAGATGGGTCGGAAGTTATTAAGAGTAGTGGGGTTCGAAATTTTAGGGAGAGGGATGACAAAAGCTTTACTCCATAAAGTAGGGAAAGTACCAGTGCTTAAGGAGAAGTTGATGATGTGAGTTATTAAAGGGAGAATGAAGTCAAGTAGGATAGATATCATGTAACGGCTTATGCCATCGAAGCCAACCGCTTGTGATTTAATGGACAGTATGATTTTTTTGACCATATCTACTGACACCGCGGAAAATGAGAAGGACGTGGGGATGCAGGAGGGCATGGAAGATACCTCGGCGATGGTTTGAGTTTTGACATCAGGGTCCAAGGGTGATGCAGAAGAGAAATGGATATTTAGGTCATCGGGTGAAAAAATTGAATGAGAGAGCTTAATTTCAGCTTTGCCTATGCCAAGATTTTTGAGGAATTTCCACACATCAGCCGAAGAAGAGTTGAGAATATTATCATGTATGTAATGTCGCTTGGCTGATCTCACCATCTGGTTGCACCGGTTTCTAGCAGCCTTAAAGCCACTCCAATTACTATCACTACGGTCCCTTCTAAATCTTCGGAAAGCACGGTCGCGGCGGTTCATTGCCATTCGCACCCCTTCGGTGATCCAGGGCGCTGGTGGGCGTTTCAGTTTGACCGGACGAAGCGGCGCGTGCACATCGAAGAGGGACAACAGGAGCGTATTGAATAGCGACACCTTAGTGTCGATAGTCGTCGCTGTCAAAACAGGTTGCCAGTTGAGCGAAGCCGCATCCCTTTTGATGGCCTCCGCGTCCACCCGGGCCAAGTTGCGCATTTGCACTGTGGTAGGTTTCTGTTTTAAGGTATGAAGCTTATAAGTTGCATAAATCAGGTCGTGGCGTGAGAATCCGGGCGCAGCGAGCTGACCATGAGAGATCACGCTATCCGGAGCAGATGTAATGATGAGGTCCAGCCACGTATCGGGAGAGTCCACATTGTGGTGAGTAGGTTGAAGAGGAAGAATGGAAAAATTTATGGAAGACACCATAGCAAGAAATTTTGTGGAGGCCAGTGACTTAACCAACAGATTGGTATTAAAATCCCCCATGATTATATGGTGTGGGTATTCTGTGCTAATGGGTTCGAGGGCGGACTCAAGCTTTGAAAGGTAGTCAACGCCAGGTGGGCAGTAAACCACCCCCAGAGCAGCTTTGACTCCCCTGACATTTATTTCCAGGAAAATAAATTCAGCGGAACCACTGTACAGAGAAGGTGACATTTCTAGAACCCTGTACGGTATATCACTTCGTAGGTAGATGGCAACACCACCACCACCCTTGCCAGTGCGATCATTCCTAATTAGCACGAATCCTGGCAGGGCATAGGATGTTGAGGCCAAGCAAGGCTTCAGCCAACTTTCAGATACAAGTATGGCATGAAGGTTTTCACCAGAGAAAGTCTCATAAAGGTCCGTATAGTGTGCAGGGATACTTTGCGCATTAATGTGACACGTATTTAGAAATTTCTTTGTTTTAGAAAAGTTTTCGTTCAAAATATCCTTCAAGGTAGAAGTGGAAACATCATGGAAAGAACAGTCGTCATTGGTTGAAAATGATTCATGAGCGGAAAAAAATGATTCATCATCCATATGAAAAAATATAAAATAATAATTAGCTAAATNGTGCGATCTGGCGCATGAAAACGAGCTTCACATTTAAATCATACTTTAGCAAAGTACCTTAATTGCAAAACATTCACAACATTATTTTAATTTTAAAATCTATTGAAGCCGGTGAGCTCTTGCACTGGCAGTGAGATTTGAGACAGTGACTCTACCGGTGATTTCATACGAGATGGCAAAAGAAAAAGACGAATCGCGCCATCATTGAACGAACTTTATCAGTTACTTATTTGTAAAAATAGCACAATAAGTGTTCTAAGTGATTTACATTGTACCTGCATACATTTATGTTGTCAACCTTCCCAGTATACCCATTCTGCGTTCTATTGTTGTACAATGGAATGAATTAAGCTTTGCAAGTCAAAGCTTTGTCTTTGACGTAAGAGACATACATCACATACCTATTAAATAGTAGGTAGTAGTAGTAGGTAATAGTAATTTCCGCAACAACGTATATTGTGATATATGTGATGATTCTTCTATTTTTGTAATTCATTTTATTTAAATGGATCTGTATGACTGTGCTGTGATCCAAACCAAATGTAATTTCATTCATTTCATGTTGTGATATAATATAAAAAATGGACTAAAATTTTAAACATAGACAATACGGTGTCATCGTAATAAAATCTAATTTCTGTTGACAAAATATTTTTGCAGGATGCCGCATCCAAGCGCCCAAACCAGCGTCGATTCTGCTATGTTTACGTGGCGGATGGTGGCATGGCCGCTCAATGGGAGAATTGGCCCTCTCCACACACAATGCGCAGCCAAGCCGAGCAGACACCACTCGAGCCCGACCCACCAATAACGTTTTTATTCTTTTTCAACCGCGACCGGCGGATTGAGCGAACCAACCAGTATTTTTGCTTAAATAAATTAACGTATAAACAAATTCGACTATTGTCGCGTAAAGAACTCTTGTCTCTTCCATTTTCAAAAAGGTTTTTTTTAAAACGGGACTATTCCCACCTCTCGTTCCCACCACTGCAACTCCTGTGTAGCCAGGATCTACAGCTTGACGGCCACAAAAACCCAACCAATGAAGGTCAAGTTTGTCCCGGGGGAAAGTTAAACTGTCTTTGGACCCGCAACGAAATTAATCAGAAGAACATAGGAAGAGTTCGAAATTAAGGTTCGACTTCCCTCCATTGTAAAGCGAATGACAGGTGACAAACAAAGGTTTAAAACCTTTAAGAAAAGATTATGCACCACGGACAATAAATTAAATTAAGGGGGCCTATCTTATGAGCAATTAGCAACTACCTGCCAATAATATTTTTCACAAAATCGCTTAAAAGCACGGAAATTTTACCTTGTCGCGACTAGATCGGTGTAATAAATTGCGGAAACAGATGTATGTTGTATTGAATTAAGCATTATATCACGTTCATGTTTCCAAAGATCACACTCCCACAAGATATGATGGGCAGACTGCTCATGACTGACATCATCAGTGGAACACTCGCAAAAAGGAGACGGAACTAGTTTGAATTCGTAAAGTTTATGTTTAAAGTTGCCATGTCCCGTGAGGAACTGCGACGAGAAATGGTCGATTTCTAACCATCGCCTAGTTAAACGTTCGCGTACATTCTGGGAAGAACTTATATAAGTGGCGTCCTTTGACTGACATATCCCATCTTTTTTTCCATTCATTAAGTAATTCTTCTTCAACGACTTCTCGGGAATCAAATAATCGACTTATTTTAGAACGATCGCGGCTATTTAAGAAATCGGAGGTTATATTTTCCCTTGATGCGAAGTACATAGCCGCACGCTTTTGTACCTCTAAGTCGACCGGCAGTACACCAGCCAGGACTGGCAGAGCCTCCGTGCTCACAGTTCTGTAAGCTTTACAAAGAAAAATCAATGCAAGGGGTTGACTTTGGAGTAGTTGTAGTAGGTTTTTTTTTTAAGTTTAACATTATTAAAACTACTTCTGTTTTTCTGGGTTCTTAATTAATTTCCATTTAAGTGGTGAAAATACACACTGGAAGGGCTACGATCTGCGTGAGAACACATAGCTCTATCAGCATGTATGTTATAATGTTAGTACGTCACCATATTGCGCAAAATAGCGTTTTTGCTTTAAAATAGAGTAGAATATTTATTTGTCTCAAAACAGGTTTTTTTGAAGTGCTATCGGTTTGCACTTACGATTTACAATGTTTATTTTTAAATAAAAACGAAGTTATATAACTTTTGGCTCAATAATCACAACTAAATAATCGTAAAATGTTATTGCCAACAGTGAAAGAATCGAGTATTATGATGATGGTAAAAACCATAAAGTGAATATTGGCACAAATAAACAATATACGTATTGTCAACTCGTCTACTCGATAAATGGTTATTATCAGTGGATGGATTCATCTCACTGATATTTATTTTTCTAACTTTTAAGAATAAACTCTAGTATAACACAACAAAGCCCCAGAATCTTTTGGCTTCACAAAAACAAAAGAGGTAAATAAAAACTGTAGCTTCAAAAGTTCGACTTAGAGATAACGCACGAGGCTCGGCTACAAAACGGATACGAACGCGTACCTACATACGTACTTTACTCGTACATTTAATATGTTGATTCTTGATCTCTCATCTACCGTAAGCAAAATACAGACCGTCCACTCTCACTTTATTAAATTAATAGTTAATATTGGAATCATAAGCTCTACTTATCACAAAATCGAGAGTAATTACAGAAATTCGAGTCAAGGTCGACTGAATCCCTGAAAATTCCTCTGCAAACATTGAAAAGCGAAAATCGCAATGCGTGAACAGACGGAGAGCGGAATTTGTGAGCGGTAAATAAGCTTTTTTATGCATAACGGCTTAAAGTTTACCTTTTTCACGGTTGTGACGTTTTCCTTTCCTATCCGTTTTATCGGCGCGCGTTATCGGCGACTGTCTGCTGTTTTTCCGAAACGAAAAAACAAATACAATTTGTTGCTGGTGTTTCAGGCGAGATATTATAGCTGGGTAATAATACGTATGTTGGTTTGGCGGGGCGGGGCTCCTTTGAGGGGGCCGCTATTGGCAGAGCGTGAGCACCAGAGAGGGAGGCGCGAGCTCGCTCGCTCGGGCCATTGTGCGGTCGACTGCGGACGCGCGATCGTCTCAGTGAGCTCACCGGAGCACCACGAAAGTTGCATGAAAAAAATGTTGGAGTTTTACACGAATATTAACCCTGGATTGATGCAGGAGAGCATGCAGCCGCCGCTCAGCTGCCCCAACAGAACAGGTCGGTGACGTGTCTTAATCCCTAAATTAGGCTCGTGCTAACTTACGTCTTATCAGCGAATTTTTAATTGGTGATAATTTTCTGTGAATTTCTAGTTCCCCAAAAATTAAAGTGTATTTTTCCAAATTTTATTGCTGATAAGCCACTTTTGTTTATTCGTTGTTCGTTGGCGTTAAATGAATGGTCCAAGTTAAACGCGCCTTGTTGAAGTTTGCTGATAAATAAGTTTTTCGATCATTATTTTGCGGCTTAAAACTTTTCAATAAGTTATTGAGATCACTTCGTGATTCAATAGTTTGAGTGTCATAACTAACTTAATATAAACTTCAAGCGTCACAAAAAACACTTTTTTGAAACGATAAACAATTTTTAAATGCATTATTAGTGAGAAAATAATTTGGGACGTGTAATCGTGTATATGAAATATATGACCACTAAAGAAACAACCCTAGGCTTGTCTCCCCGCAGAGCCGGGGAATAAGAACTTTTAAACATTTATATTTATAACATTTATATTGTGAATGTTTTGGGGTTTATTTATTACTTACCATTCTGTAAAAGTACTCGATGTAATCTTAAATAAGTACGATTGAATTCTCCTTATAATTACGAATTTCCCGTTAAACTTTTAGATAGAGATAACTACTACATAGACGTACATATATTAAACAATAATTAAATATCAATTAGTTACCTTTAACTAACGCAGCTTACCGAAATACTATGAATAGCAGGTAACACAATTTTGTTAAATATTAACATAAAACAATTTCACTGTATACTTTAACATTAGCTTTAACTTTGCTACATTCTGTTTGAGTATTATTTTTACTAAAATAACCCCGAATTGTGTAAAATAAAATAAAACTATTATGAAAATAAGAAACGTATTTGAAAATAGAGTAGTTTTCAGTATAACAGTTGCAATGGATGAAACGGACGAATTTAGTTGGTGAACTTTTTCCGATATCTGAATATTTTTGATCGTCTGTGTGTTAAAAGAGCTTTTAAGCTAAAAGTATGTAACGTATCCATGTTATATATACCTGATCTATACTTATAATAAATCTGTAGAGAGGTCAATTCTGTACATGAAATATATTTTCAAAATAACTATCAGGGGGTGATAAGTGATCGATACTGATGCCAAAAATGCAATCGTAAAATTTTTGTCTGTCTGTCTGTCTGTCTGTCTGTATGTTCCTTATAGAAACAAAAACTACTCGACGGATTTTAACGAAACTTGGTACAANATATAAAATGAAAATAATATAAATAATAATACAAAAAAAGTTAATATTTTCTGCACTGACCTGCCGGTTTACATAAGAACATTTATATTACACTTCAAGGGAAATACAGCAAAGAGAGAACAAAAAGGAAATAGGAAAAAGAAAATAATTAAACAAAGCCCTCCAAAAATTATGCCAAAAATCAATATTAATATTAATACAAACTAATTGGCTCAAAGTGCAAATCCCAAAGTATTAAACAAATGAAAACTAGTGCAATTTCTGGACGATAGACATTTGACATTTACAAGTTGACAGATTTGGAAAAAAAATTAATACAGATGTTAATGTTATTGGGTAGATGCAAGTTTTCAAAAATTTATGATTAATGTGGATTCAAAAAGAAAAAGTGGGTCAAACATAGCCAATTATTCAGTCAAACAGTGAGGGTAGTTATTCCAGCCGGTATCAACTACTTAGCCTTGGGTTTCTTGGGGCGCAGCGACACACCGGTGGGCTTACTTGATCTTTCCGCTCGCGCAGGGGCAGGAGGACTTTCTAGTTGGGGGGGCACTACTGGAACAGGATGCTTTGCGTTGGCTATCAGGTCTAGATCGCCCATGGATGTTATCAGGCGGCGTTTCCCGTCGGCCAACTTAACATAAATGTTGCCGTCCAGTGTCCAGACCTTCGTGATGCCAAATCTCTTGCGTGCCTCCATGAAAAGAGTCTGTCGACTACGCGTTAGGAACTCCGAGATGACAGTGGGAGTACCTTTTAGCACAGTCTTCTTCTTCCAAACCGTGGATTTTATTGAGTGATCAGCAAACTGTACCAGAATTGGACGTGGCCTGCCTTCTCTGCTGGATCCAAGTCGATAGCATGCCTTAAACGCTGATGTGGTCACGTCCGACAAGTTAAAGCGGGCCCTCAGTAGGTCACAAATGACCGTAGGGGCATCCTCCTTTGTGTCCTCGGGCATTCCTCCAAAAAGAAGGCTTTTTCTGCGATGGCGCATCTCCAGGGCATCGGTGGCACGAGAAAGCTCGTCAATTTGTGAGCGTAGCAGCTGTACAATTCCGGCAACACTCTCCTTGAAAGCCTTGAACTCGGCATATAGGTGTCCGAGTGTAGTAGGCTCCGATGCCGATTTTTTAAATTGTGCTTCAAACTCACTCATGCGTTTGTGTAAGGACTCTTCCAGTGTTGTCTGCAATTGGTGTACATCAGCCAAGGAAGACATGTTCGTGTAGTTGATAGGGAGTGATGAGAACCGGTGACAGGTGCAGTGAAGTAGTAATCACAGCATATAAAGTGATGCAAACGTTATGGGGTTTAAATTAGTGCCCTTTGAATAAGATCACACAATAAAAAGGTAATTATTCTATCTATTACTATTTTTAAACAAATTTTAATGTGAGAGGGAGCTACGAACTACTTTTACGCCTACCGCCGAAACCAAATACTGACAATAGACATATTAAAGTGACATTATGTATTCAATATCACTAGACCGACATGCTTCCTATCTTATTCAAGACTACTAATTATCAACTAATGCCTCAACCACGTGACTCCCTACAATCACATGTAGCAATGCAATCAAACGCTGACACCTAGAGCCAGCTCAGCCGCTCTTACATTAAGGCTACAGCATATTAATTCACTCAATTAGGCTACAGGCGTTAGCACGTCGTTAAAGGCGACGACGCTTAGTAATCGCGATGGCTGACAAGGCGAGGAGTGTATTTGACAGCTGTCAAATTGGATTGCATCCAGCTATTAGGGAATGTCGGCTGTACGCGACAGATGAAGGATTTGCGTGGATATGCCAGGTTTTTCAGTCAATGACGCGGAAAATTAATTAAAAACATAATATTGTTTTCCTAACTACAAGTTAAGTAAATAATAAACCGTGATAAAATTTTTCACCTGTAGGCCCAGGATGCGCGTGGGAACAAGCTTTTTTCGCACTATTTTTTCGATTTTATGCGATAAGCCCATACGTTTGTCGCCTAAAATCATCGATAAGATTTTATCACGGCGCGCATCCTAGCCCAGCAGAGCTTGTGAAGAGAAGCTACTGGCGTAGTCTAAGGCTGGTTATGGTTAGTTACTTAAACGTTATGCTAATTTGGACATGGGTAGTAGGGTGGGTCAAAAAATTTTTTTTTGAGTAATCGATTTCTAATAGCGAAAATATGTTGTAGTTAGGTATCATTATAAACCCTTTAAAATATTATTGAATTATTTTAAGTGGAACAGCCCGCGCAACGTCATTGAAGTTTTGAAAAAAAAAAAGTTTCAGTATCAACTTTTACACCCTAAGTTACACGTTTGAAGTTGGGTATAGTTTAATGTTTTAATTAATATCCATTGAAATACACGTTACTTCTGTTAGAAACCGTGTTGTTTATTAAAAGACAATTTTTGGAGGTAAGTACATTCAGGCTAGTTTCTTCTGAAATCATTTGAAATTATAAATTTTGTAATTTTTGTTTTATGCTTTGGAAGTTAAATTTTTCTATCATGTCAGATAATAGACAGTCATACAAGTGTCCTATATTAGTAACTATAGAAGATATAAAAGAAAACGAGTTACCAACACACCAGGATGTCATGAAATGTTACGAGTGGAATAGACTACAGGTAAAATTTTAAAATAGCAGTAACTAAGAGCCCCCGTGTCCCGAAATTGCAGAAATTGTAACCGAGAAAGTTGAAGGAGTATGGCAAAAGGCATCAATTACTGTAGTCTCGCATACAAGAGTCATTCAGCTCCTGAAAGCTTATCATTCTGTCAGCTGAGAAAAAATCTGAGTTCTTGCAGCTAAGCGAAACTTTGATCGATATTTGTTCATGCAAATGTAAGTTAATAAGTCAGTGCAATTGTACCAGAGAAATTACAGTCCCTAAAGAAGAACACAACTTTTTGATTGATCAACAGGGTGAGAGAAAAATGAGAATCGGCCGTATTGATCGCAATCGAACAAAAAGTTTACAAAAAAAGATTGTACGAAAGCAAAAGCTTCAACAAAATATCTACCTGAAGAACGATAACAACTCACCCAAAATTCCAGAACAAGAATTAATGTTATCAACGAGTAGTGATACTGATATTAGTGTTTCTTTTCCGGAAAGCATATAAGAGAATCTTGCAGCTAGAAATTCTAAAAACGCGTAGTTCACCTACAAACGGGATAATTACCACGTACTTTTGAAGTGCTAAACTTAATTTTGATGCTAAATATTACATTGATCTAAAAAACTGGCAAGATACCAACTTTGATCCACCTATTCTAAGTAATCATACCAATGACGAACTTATTCAGATAATAGAGAAAAAAGGTGACGAAAGGATGTTGTATATTAGGCTGCCTTGACATACACAGGCGATTGAACTATGTGTAAGGATAGTGACAGAAACTGCAATATCGGCATGTGATAAAAAAAACAAGGAATGGCATGATTCATGCAAAACTTGCTTCTAGGAAAGTTATGCCGAAATAACAGTATGCTGGATTTTTTGTACAAAAATAAATATTTTTTTTGATAGCCTATTATATGTATTGGTTTAAGTTTTTTGTTTTAAACGTTAATATATGTCTTTCACTAAATATTTGCATTGTTTCAATAGTATTTTAATTAATTTATAATAAAAAACAATGCCATTTAGTAATGCGTGTTTTTTTGAAAAACCTAAAATTTTGAAGCGCATGCGCGGGCTGAAGATGTATGTTTAAATATCCGTTTTTTAGCCAAAACTACTTTTTATAGTACACTACAACATAATATTACTATTAGAATTTGATTCATCAACTTTTATTTTTTTCCATACTAGAGTGACCCACCCTAATGGGTAGGCCTCAGCGCGGTCCTAATGTGTCTTCTTTTTAACAGCCAAGCTTAAATCACGTGTAGGAAATACATCCTACTCGTTTCAGCCTAATGTCGTCCACTTCTGGACAAAGGTCTCCCCCAAGGATTTCCACAAAGACCGCTCACCGCATACAGGTGCTACCCACGACTTTTACTAGATCGTCGGTTACGTTTCTACTAAATTGATCGAAAGGTTACCTACTACTTCTAATATTAATTTACGTCTGTTTCTTCTTAGTGTAGACAGTACATCCACATACCAAAGGTTATTTATTTATTTCTAAAGGAACTTCTGAATTATTTAAGATCATTTAGAATTTTGCAATTTGTATGCATGTCCTTAACTTTCAATCGTTCCACTGCCCAAATTGAGTCTCACGCGAGCCGCTGCACCGCCAAGTGTGAGACAGTACGCAGGAGCTGTTCGGTGTAATTGTATCACTTACGAAACGTTCTGCAGCTAACGAGATTCGACACGTTCCTATTTAGTTTTACTTTACTCGTGTTCTTTGACTGCCCGTTTAGGGAAAATTGAAAGTCGTTAGTTTTAAACGCTGTTGTAACTTTGTTCATAAAGATTAGCATTGAGTTCAGCTATTTAGAATATTTTTTTACACAAAAATGGTATAATAATAAGATCATCATTAACCGTCTATCTAATCATAAGAAAGTTGTTGCTCTGTAGAGGTTTTCCTGATATCTCCTTTATTTTTCCATGTATTTTTAGGTGCGTTGACTCATTTTTATTTATTGTTTCTTCTGTTTTTGATTTCGTTTACTTAGTTTCTTTTCGTTTTGCCTCTTTTTCTCATCAAGATACTCATTCTCTTCTCTATCACCACAAATGTGCTTTTTCAATTTTCTTTTAACACTAGAAGTGCCGAAGATTACGACCCCCCTAAAAGCGCCGCTGGGTCAATTTTGTCCCAGCATGTATTTTGTAACATTTTTTTAGTTTCAGGCATGAATATTATGGTTAAAACTATTTGTAGTATCCTTAAAAAAAGGTTTATCTGTGTAGTTAAATCAATATGTACTTATTTCTTTAAAAATATAAATGTATTCAATTTTAATTTTGAATTATTAAAAGTCAGATATTTTTGGTTTCATTTAAAAATAGTCACATATTACGTGGTGTTATACGGTATTAAAATAATGAAATTAATACTTTAAATAGTCATTATTATTTTTAAAGAAAAAATAAATGTCTTACAAATAATAGTGCACATTTTGCACAAAGTTTTTTTGTATGGCTTTTTGTCTCTCTGGTGTACTATGTGTTTAGAAATTTCTATAGGTATGGTTATTTTTCTGTTATCTGTACACAAAAAATAAAGTTTTTTACTAAATACAATGAAAAGTATGTACGTTTAATCTTCAAAATTTTATAAGTCACACATTTTAAAAATGTATCAAATCATACAATGTATGAACTGACTTATGTCTAGAAGCCACCTTCCTACTAATATTATAAATGTAAAAGTTAATAAATATTGATGAATTGAAGGATGGATGGACTGATGAATGGATAGGAAGGATGAATGGGTGGATATTATATGCCTGGAACTTGAACTAAGCGAGTATGGATTCATGGTTAGATCGATAGATGTTTTTTCACTCTTTTACGCAAAAAATACTAAGCCGATCGTAATAAAACTTTGCAGTTTTATTGTTAATCAAAATCAAAAATCAAANAGGATATTGCAAAATTCCCACGGGAACGGGAGTTAGCGGGAAAAAACATTTGTATGAAAAATCTAAACCACTTAAGTTAGACGCTTGAATTTTGGCATGCAGGTACCTTAGTAAACCTAAAGCTTAGTTACAACAGGATATTGCAAAATTCCCACGGGAAGTGGAGTTAGCGGGAAAAAACATTTGTATGAAAAATTTAAACCACGTAAGATAGATGCTTGAAATTTGGCATGCAGGTACCTTAGTAAACTCAAAACTTAGTTACAACAGGATATTGCAAAATTCCCACGAGTTAGTGGGAAAAAACCTTTGTATGAAAAAATCTGAACCGCGTAAGATAGATGAAGGGGTGGTAAAACGAAATCCACGCGTACGAAGTCGCGGGCGGCCGCTAGTAAATAAATAAAATGAAACTAAAAAAATAATAGACTTCTAAAATTAATTTGATTTAACTGCATGCTAGTATATATTGATACATTATATTTCTAACTTATAATGTATTTGTTCTTAACATAAATATTGTAACAATATGAAGGATGAGGGCGACGCAGGACGGTCTTTGTGGAAATCCTTAGGGGAGGCCTTTGTCCAGCAGTGGTCGTAATTCGGCTGAAAAGAACGAACGGACGAACAATATTAAAAATTGAATGTAGAGCTCCATAAAAAAAACATTATCTGTAGAAACCATCACGCTGCTCTACGAGTACAGTCTTAATGAATAAATATCAATACCATTTTATTACTTCACGGTACTCACATCAAAAGAACGTCAATAAATCGTTAATTAACGTTAATATTTCAAATATATCGAGTGTCGAAGATTTTAATTATTGCGCGATAATAACGTTGAATCCTCAATTTAAATGCTAAAGGTTATTTTAAAGATGAA